CGAAAACAACATCGACAAGGACATCCAATTGTGTAACGCTCGTAGATCAGGGCTAGTCAATTTAGAGACAATAAGCGTCAAAAATGACTTTTTGATAGAAGATAATTTAGGATGAATAATCCTAACTAAGTTGTAGTATATGTTATAAGGTTTCCGTGCATATAAAGAACGCCAAAATCCGAGTTATAACGAAGAAGTTATGACTTGTTAAAGTTTCGCGACAGAAACGGCACAACGCTAAATGACGTAAAAAGTAAATTTACGTTAGAGTGATATTTAGCCTTAGTGATCTAAACGAGAATCGAAGATCTCGTTGTTAGTATCAAAGCGATAAAAAGTTAGGCGAGAACGGACGTCAAACGAAGAAGTTATGAATTTATAACAAAATTTTCTGTCCCGGCCTATTAAAAATAAATAATAAAAATAAAGTCAAAATTAGCCGACGGAATCTAAACGAAAGTTGTAGAGCGTAGTCTCACCTTCGCGTGGATATAAATAACGTCGAAAACGGAGTTTGTATGAAGGAGATATGAATTTCCGAAATTTATTAAATAATTAATAATTAAAATTAATTATTAAACCCCGACATTATCCGAAGAGGAGTCAGCGGTCCGATCCGAAGTATGCCCCGCGTACTCGAGTACACCCCACGTACAGCGAATATGTCGACACTCGCACTTGAGGACTTCGAATGACGAACACAGTGACGATTTCGGACGAGTACGCCCCCGCGTACTCCGAGGCTCCAGCCTCTTATAAATAGGATGCGAGGGCAGCCGGCTTCTTTGCTATTTTCCTCCATTCTCTCTCCCATTTTACCTCGATTTGCATGCCAGAAATACCCCGAAGCCCCGGTATTATTCTTGAGCCCCGAAGCAAGTCCCGAGATCCCGAAGATCCCGAGAAGTGCGGTTCCCGAGCCGAAGCTCTGCCCGCGAGAAGTTCGATTTTTGTGGAGATCTTCCAGATCTACCGAAGAATACTACTTCTGCAAGTCGTAGTGTTGTCCGATCATCTTCTGATCAAGTGAGTGTATACTACCTTTCATAAACACGATAATAATACAAGTATGGTTTGAGTGTATTAAGTTTATTGTTGTTTATATGTGAGTGTGTAGTTACTTTCTTCTAACACATAAATATGACGTATTTGCTACAAGATACGTGCTATGTGTTTATATGTTATTTGTCTATTTGAGATGGGCATGGAAATTGGAGTTTTATACAGGTGTTAAATGATTTAAATTGTGTAAGTATTTATATCTACAAAATTGTTGGGTAGAACATAGGTAGATGGAATAGTTGATGACTATGGAGTTAGTGCCTATTGTATAAACCTTGGCGACGATGTGACTTCGTGCCTATTTGAGTAAACCTTGGCGACTATGGAGTTAGCGCACATTGAGTAAACTTTGGCGACTATGGAGTTAGCGCTTGTTGAGTAAACCTTGGCGAGTATGGAGTTAGCGCTTGTTAAGTGAACCTTGGTGACTATGGAGTTAGCGCCAGATAACTATGGATTTAGTACTTGATAAATAAGCTTTGGCAGCAATGGAATTCGTGCCAAATTCCTTACGACTAAATGAATGAAGGATAGTTGGTTCTTAGGGTAAAACCTTAAGAAGATAATGGGGATGGGTAATTGGGTTGATTATTTGCTGATTACATATAATAATTATATTATTGTATGTTGAAAACCCTATATGCTCACCAGGCTCCCAAGCCTGACCCACTCAGTTTTCTTTTCATTACAGGTAATGGCACAAGAGTATAAGTTGGTGGACTTGACGAGAGATTTTGGATTGTAGATCAGTAGTCATAAATAATTGTTGTAAGATTTATTTTATATTGTTTATGCTTTTGGTCTGTATCGAACATGACATCCCAATGTTTTATTATTTAATGAAAATACATTCTCTTTGAGAAATGTTTTGATAAATTTTATCATATTTTATTTTGGGAACAAATTCCGCAACTCTTTTAATCAAAAGATTACTCTGATTTTATAAAACAAAGCATAAACAAATCGGTCTTTTCTGGCCGTGAAATTGGGGATGTCACAAATTGTGATTGATTGAAGATCATCGAACATTTGGAACTTCTTCATGTTGACCTTCAACAATTGAAACACTCAACAAAAAGAGGTACATTTTGGTTATTGTTGATGATTTTTCTAGGTTTACTTGGGTATATTTTATTCGTTTAAAATCAGAAACAACTCAAGTGATGATCGATTTCATCAAACACATCGAGTTAAGTCTAAAGAAAAAGTTTTTCCAGATCAAGAGTGATAATGGATTAGAATTCAAGAACAAGATTGTTGATTCGGTATTGGCTGATAAAGGAATATTGCACAATGTCTCGTCTCCTTATACACCTCAACAGAATGGTGTTGTCGAAAGGACAAATCATTCATTTTATGAAGTAGCAAGAACGATGTTGACTTATGCAAATCTTCCACAATATCTTTGGGCTTCTAACATAAGGGCTCCCGGGTATATTATTTATGTGTTTATTTTTGAGATTTACTAAGTGACTCGACGATTTACGAGCCCAACTCGTCGAGTAGAGTCGATTTGGCCACGTGGGTTTAATAATCGACTCGACGAGTCAGAGAGCTGACGCGCCGAGTTGGCGCTGTGAGGTGAAACCCTCAATCTCCGGGGTTGGGCCTATTTAAGAAAACTTATGTCCTCATTTCCGCCTCACCAACTGCCCAACTCCCTTGTGTGAAACCCTAAACATTTTTTGTGAGCTAAGAGAGTTATAGAGCTAATCTTTGAGTATTCTAGTGCATCTTTTGAGGATAAGAGGAGATTATCTAGCAAGGAACGAGGAGAAACTATTGGATCTAGTGCTAAATTGTCCAGAGCTTTTGTGGAAGGTAAAAAATCCTACACCTTTCTCATCTTATTGGTTAGATATCATGATTATGGAAGTTAGAGCTTTTACCACCTTTATTGGGACATTGAGTGCATTGAGTCTATCAGGAGGTCTAGACTTCAGATCTTGACCTTGTGAGGTCCATAGAGTTCAAAGGTCCCAGCTTGATTCAACCATATAAGAGTATTTGTGCTTAAACACCCTTATTAGAGTTGTATTGGCATTTTGGAGCAAAATATGCCATGCATGAACGTAAAGATCGAAGCTTTACGTGACATTCAGGCATCGGGAGCCTAGATCTAGAATGTGGAGTGGTAGATCTGCCTTAAAACGTCTGAATGAGAATTCAAACTGAAGGGACTCGCCGAGTCAACGAGCTGACTCGATGAGTTGGCTAGGGTTTTCCACTAATGAGTCCGGATATGGGTAACTCGGAGAGTTGATGGGACAAATCGACAAGTTGAGTTGGGTTTTCGTGATGTTCTGAAGGAAAAAGGGGGACTCAACGAGTCACATAGATGCACTCGGCGAGTCAGGTTAACATGGACAATTGACTCGAGTGTTGACTTCTGTTGACTTTAGGGTTTGGTCAAGGCAGGAAGAATGGGAACCATGGAGGGGTAAAATGGTCTTTTACCCATTCCAAGAGTTTGAGAGAGACTATAACCTAGTTTATTTCGAATCGTGATTTAAGTGTTAATCAGGGATTATTATCTTATGTGTTAGGCGGAAGCTAGTTTGAGATTCGTATACGACATTATTACTTGCTAGCCTACGAGGTGAGTTTTCTCACTATAATTTACCTAGTGTGGTAATCCTTGTGTGACCGAAGGGTCTTACGTGTTATATCGAGTATTGTGTAATCTTGCATTATGTCTCTGTGATTTGTGTTGTGTATTATTATGAGCTTACTGAGTTAGGACCAGAGGGTCCACCCGAGTTGTGGGGCTGGAGGATCCCACAGAGAAAAATTGACCGGAGGGTCTTATTTTAGCATAGCCATGAGAGGCTAATGGGATATATGTGGTATTTTGGGGAACTCACTAAGCTTTGTGCTTACCGTGTTATGTGTTATGTGTTTCAGTTACCTCTCAGGATCACGGGAAGGCACCGACTTGATTGTACACACTGGAGCGAGATTATTTTCATGATTCTGGGATAATGATTTTTATTTGTGGATTTGTTGACATTTGAGACACTTGTGGTTTTTGAGAAAATGTGAAATGAGTTTTACTGTGTTTTAAAATGAAATTTTTGTTTAAAAGTTTATAGTGTAACAAGTTGGTATCAGAGCCTTGGTTTGAGGGATTCAGATATATCTTCGGGTGTGTCTGGACTCAAACTGAAGATTTAAGAAAAAATTTCAAAACAAATAAAATTTTCAAAAAATGAGAAAGAGTTTTAAGAGAAAACGAGTTGGAGCAGTATGTACAATCAACCAGAGCCCGAACGATGATTTCCCAAAACACCCTTACTTATTTGTTTTATGAGATATTTACGAGATAATAGTGATGCATGTTAGAGGGTAGGCTAAGTAATTCATATTTAGGGCTAGAGTTGCCTGATTTGTGATACCTTAGCGTAGGAATCGTTGCTAATTGTTATGTGCTTTGAGTATGTGCTTAATGAGAGTATCTAGTAGGATCACTTAGAGAGAGAGTTCTGATTCGAGAGATAATCTATGAGAGATACCTAAATGAGCATACGAGAGATCTATTAAGAGGGTAGTTTGTTATTCGTGAGAGTTAAAGTACTTGTGAACTGGGATCCTAGGAGGATGACTTTGGGTGACTACATGTTGATGTGGAAGGTAGTATTGGACCCGTACTACTGAAAGCATCAATATATATATATATATATATATATATATATATATATATATGTATATATATAATTTCTTACATTCCTATCAAAAATTTCTTTTTTATTTGATCTTGATTCTATATATATATATATATAATATATATATATATATATATATATATATATATATATATATATATATATTCTCTTATTTTCTCGTAAAGAAAAATGTGTTATTCTACGAACTTATGCTAATAATAATATAATATACTTGAATCGATCGGATAACGCTAACAGTGAGTACTTCAACATTTTAAATTACTAAAATCTGTTGGGTGTTGCAATAAGAAAAAAAAAAAAAAGTAAAGAAGTGAAAAATGAAAATCGTATCAAGAGCAAAGAGGGGTGTATAAAGAGGTCCCACAACCAACCAGCCTCGGGTTAGCTTATTTTGTCAGCCAAGTAGAGAGAGAGAGAGAGAGAGAGAGAGAGAGAGAGGAAGAGGCGTTCCAACAGTGAGAGCGGAAGGTAGCGAAGGGCGAAGGCGGAGAAACAAATGGATCCAGACGCGTTGTCGAAAGCATTCGTGGAGCATTACTACTCCACCTTCGATACCAGTCGCGCTGGTTTAGCTAACCTTTACCAAGAGACTTCCATGTTGACTTTTGAAGGTCAGAAGATCCAAGGCTCTCAGAACATCGTTAACAAGCTCACATCTCTCCCTTTCCAGCAGTGCAAACATACCATCACCACCGTCGATTGCCAGCCTTCTGGACCTGCCGGCGGTATGCTCGTCTTTGTCAGCGGCAATCTCCAACTTGCCGGAGAGCAACACGCTCTTAAGTTCAGTCAGGTCTTTCATCAACCACCTTATCCTTTCCCCTAATTCTGGATCTGATTATTTGCTTTCTATGCATAATTGATGTTCAGATTTAGATCATCAGATACTCTAATCAAACTTTCAAACGTTAATTAAGTAATCAGAAAAATCTGGATTTAATGTTCTAGCATACGACTAGTATCGATTAAAGTTTCATAGAGACTGCTCACTGCTCCTTCGCGTATGGAATTGATAATTGATCGTTCTAAAGAATGTTCCTGCTCGTCTGCGTGTATCAGTAGTAGTAGCTTAGAATTCCTTTACGAAATGAGTGCACCTCTGCTCATAAAATTGGGCACTAGTTTACAGTTTTAACGGGAACACTCATATTGCATGTCGATTGTCATTTGCACACGATAAGGCCGAATCCTAGTACTTGTCATTGGAACTCTTTACCTTCCATCCGAAAACTAGTGGTTCACCTATTATTTTCTGCACTAGAGTTGTTTTTCAAATTTATATACATTTTACAACTGAATTCTTGCCATCTTCTATTACTTGCCATCAACACTGTACGGTTGGCTCATCAAACTTGATCTTGATGTAATTATTACAAAAATCCTAGACTTGCTGTTATATGGGTTTCGGTTCTAAATCGTAGCCAAAAAAGAAAATTCTGAGTCTGCAAATGCATCTAATTGTTGCATATCTAGATATGTGAAATGTTGTAGTTTTGGGAGAATGAGATAGCCATAGGTAATCTTGAGATCTGGTATCTTACATAGTTATCGTGGAGCTTGTAGAATATAAGAATATATATCTTTTATAAATTTGAGAGTCATAGGCTCATAGCTGATGACGATATACATAGAGAGAAGGGAATAGAGTTTCAGAAGTTGTTTGTTAATGTTTTTGAGGGTTGTGTATGTGTGTGTGCAGATGTTCCATTTGATGCCAACAGCACAAGGAAGCTTTTATGTGTACAATGACATATTCCGCTTGAACTATGCTTGAGGTTTGGTTTGATTTGATTTGGGTCTGTATGTCTACAGCTACAACTAAAGGTGGTGTTGGAGTTGGGACCAATTCCAGAATGTGGTTATTTACTTTTTGGTGTTTTAAGATATCATTGAACCATCCGAAAGAAACTTGTGTTTTATGACTCTTGCCTATTTGATAACTGTAATTTGATGAATTTGTTTGGTTGTATATGGCTTGGCTTGGCTACTTGTTAAATGTTGTTGAAAGTAAGCACACACTACTAGTCTCAAAAACACAGTGTTTGCTTTTTTGTAAGTTGGAGCACAGTAGATAGAATGATATATCCATGATACGGATCGGATGATATTTAATCTTTATTAATCACTACTACTAGTAGTAGTAGTTGGTATCAGGACTAAGTTTGAATCAACTGATGACATTTGTGTTGTGGTAGGCTGGTAAGCAAGCATGATCTTGACTTTGTTTAAACTATAAATTTGCATTGAAGGATCAAAACACGGAGGATGGATTTAGTATTTACACATGCTGGGTTAAGAAAATGAAATAAGAACAAAGATTGGTAAAAATTTCATGATGTGTGTCGTAGTGGTAATTGAGTGGGATTATTTGGTTATGTTTAAGTACGCGTGCAGAGTGTATGTACACATGTATGAGGTATTTAATCCTGAATAGACGAATGGGGGGTGTCAAGGGGCAGATCAACAACTAGTGTATGGGATTGGGGATCAGCAACTACTGGTTGGAATGATGTCATGTCATGGGTAGCTACTGTCCAAAACTTTCGAGTTTCACAAGTATCTTTGGGCTCTTTCAGTTCTCAAAGATTGAGCATACCGACCATATGCATCCATTTAGACAATAAGGACGTTTCATTGTCAAAACTCATAACATGTCATGTTGTTTACTTTGGTTTATCTCCCAACAAATTTCTATTTGCCCGTCATATTCGTGATAAATATTGCGATCCAAAACCAAAATATTATTTTTACTGAGTTATACAACCTTCAATTATATAGTCCAATTAGTCTGGAATTACTCTTTTTTTTTTTTTTTTTTTTTTTTTTTGCTACCAACGCTATCATAGTTCATTTGATGCTTCCATCAAACACTAAACACTGTGGTGTTGGTTTCCAACTGACTATAACAAAACACAATTATAAAATATCTGGATTTTGAATTTATGAAATCAAATTATGTTTTTTTTTTTCCATGAAATATGGTGATTTTATCAAATTAAAAAGATTTACTAAAGATACTTGAAAATAATGCAAGACAGAAACTGAGAAACATATGTTGATTATTTTAATTTTTGGCGGAAAGTTTACAGCCATATTCATTATTTTAATTTATTATTAAATACCTATTGAATTAAATTTATACATAAAATTAACAACTTTGTTTATGGTTCTTACTTTTTTACAAAAAAGGCAAACCAACATAAAACTCTGTTATTCAGAATAGTTGTGGTTTTTTAGTTATCAATTTTTGCACACCATTAGTTAGTAGTTACAAGTTGCTACTTGCTACCGACTCACCATTATTCACTGTAGAAAGGACGGACGTCGATACTGCAAAAATAATTGCAACATTTTTTACAATTCTGAGTCACAATCTCACAATCCTCTTCCTTTTTCAGCAACTGTTAGGGGGACATATTTTCTATACTCTCTAATATATATATATATATATATATATATATATATATATATATATATATATATTCAAACATTTTTTTTGTTTCTGGAGATCTTAAAGTTAGCTACGACTGGAGTTTGTTGTTCCTTAGCATAGCAAGAAAATAGACAAAAAGGAAAGGAATATGGGTTGATATAAAAGTTGCAAAGTAGAAGAGAAATTACAAGAGTTGTTATTAATAAGCTGAATGAAGAATACAATACAATAGCAGTAACTGGTGCTTGCTAAGCATAAATATGTATGTCTAGTATGACAAGAAGCAGAATAAGAAACAAACCATAGAGCACTGCATGAAGTAACATGGAGATTACACTCGTCTTCATGTTCATGAAACCAATTGGCGATTCATTCCCTGGCATCTGAAACACCAGCCCTGGCGCTAGAAACGCAAACAGAGCTGCAGCTACAATAGGAGCCGCCCAGTCATGCATTATGATTTATAATTGTCTCAGATCAACAACAACAAAACAAGAATACGAGAAGAAACTAAGAAGAAGATGCCATTTGATAGATGGGGCAGGGGTAGAAATGGAATGTGAATCTGATAAAGGTAAAGAAGAAAGAAAAAGCATCCATCCAGCCACTTTTTGTGCGTGTTTTATGGTGGTGGTAGGAAAAGGTAATAAGGCTTTATCTATCAATCGCATCAATTAGGGGACAAAAGCTACCTTTTTCTTTCTTTAATTCAGTAATAAACATTTGGGAACAACAAACAAATATGATTGATAAACGGAAAACGGGTTTCATTAGATGTACAAGTTTAATCCTCACAAGAAAACCAGAGGACTTGTGGTGCTTCGTTTTCCCGAGAGAATCCTTCGGTCCGAAAGTGAATCATCCCAATTAAATGATTATCATTATTAATATTATTATTACTATTAGTGTAACCGCTGCTATTCAGTCCTGTTACATAATTTGGTAAGGGAAGATGTGGAATAGCGAAGTAGTTTGGGTTTGGGGAGGTGTTATTTGACAGAAGAGAGGGAGCATCATTGGCATTGGGATTGGGATTGGGCTTGGGCTTGGGCTTGGGTTCAAACAATGTTTGTCCCACTGATGCATCAGAGTCAGGGGTGCCCAAAAGGAATGGGAACTTTTTCTCCCTTGAGGATGATGATGATGATGATGATGATGATGATGTTGTGACTATGTATTGCTTGTTTAACTTTTCTTTATCGGTGGGCCTGGGCCAGGGCCATCTCATTCTCAGGGGACTGCTACAAGTTGTGTATGCTGGTGAACCACCAAACCGCACCAGTGTTGTACCTGTAATCAAATGTAATGTAATTTACAGCAATAATAATTAAGTAAACACACACATATTTGTGTTTGTGTTTAAATCTGAATTGTGATTCACAAAACTGAATGATTGGTGAAAAAGGTCTCATACATGGATGATTGTATCCCCCTTGGTTTCCTCCTACGCCTGTTGTGACCATCAAGACGCTTCCTACAACTCCGCTTCACTTCATCAAATTCTCCAACTGAATGGAATCTATCAAATGCACCTTCAACTCATCAATCACTCTCTCCTTGTTTCTCTACATATACACACTAAACTAAGGGCTTGTTTTTTTCCCTATTAAGTCTTGTATGGGTAACCAAAATGTTTTTTTTGTTGTTAAATTGATACCCGCCAAAGTTTGAGGGTTCAAGTAAGAATAGAGTATGGGGAGTGTGAGTTCCCCTTCTAAAAATGAGTCTTGTACGGGTAAATGGCTAAATAGGTAAAATAGTTGTTTGAATATCATGTTGATTACATAAAGTTTGTTTTTTTTTTTCTAGATTTAATAAAACCATCTTTTAACTTTACATTTTTTTTTTTGTAGCAATATTATCAATTTTTATGTTGAATGAAAGAAGAAGCAGTGCAAATAGGTAATGCCTTAATACCTTAAACCAGATTTTTTGGCTTTAACCCATTAAGCCAGGTCATTAAGATAGCTGTCCAGATTAAGTGCTTAACCCATTAAGCTCATTAAATTGAAAAAAAAAAAAAAAAAAAAAACTACCCCTGGCTAATATGTATGGAAACAGAAAGCATTTTGCATAAAGTGTCAAGGCAAATAAAAGGGTTATGGAATATGGAGGGAGTACCTACTGCACTGCTGGCAAAACCTTTGGTGTTTGCCGGCTATGGCGACAAGTGGTGTCTTGGAATGAGCTTCACAAACCCTATGCCGCCGATGATAGTCTCTGCATCTACTGAGGTCCACTGTGCATCCATCCACCAAACATGACACACCATCCCCACCTGGCTTCTTGGATGGTTCGGAAGAAGTGGTTGAACTTGAACAAAATGTTATACCAGAGTCCACAGAGAAAGCCTCAGCCTCCATATTTTGATTATTTTCCATCACCTGCTGCAGCACATCAAACTCATCTCTCTCCAGTTCACTCAAGTACGACGATGCTTTCAAAACCCAATCCATAATCCCTAATACTTCAACTTACAACCACCTGAAACTGAAAACGCACAACATCTTATATCGATCATAATTTGACAATTTTGAGGAATCTAGTATATATGACGATCACATGGTAGCCACGCCCACGATTGTATCAGAAAAGCTGGAAAAAGTGAAACGAACACAGAGAACATGGGAGCAACTCATAAGAATCAAAATTGCAAAAGGGAGAGAGAGGTATAAAGAACTTACAAAAAAGTTGATTCTTTCTTGAAATTTGCTAATTTCACCAACACCACCTGACATTGATTTCCAACTCCAACATATATATAAATCCGTATTTTAATCAAGCCAAGAGAGAGGGAGAAGGAGAAGAAGCCAATGATGAGTCGTGATTGATTGAGAGGGAGTTACATTACAATTACAAAGATATAATTTTTAATGGCACACATGCAGATAAAGGCAACTGGAAGTTAAAGGAGGACCATTTCAGAAAGAGAGATTTGCGATGTAGTTTTCTGCCTCCCAAATGGTCCCCTGCGCTCAGGATTTTCAATTCAAAATCGGGAGCAGTTGAAGATGATGGCGATGTTAATGATCATCATTTATCAAACACATATACACACACAGAGACAGAGGCTTGACGTGACAAATTGGGGTTGAGGAAGAAAGGTGAGGGCTTTCGTCGTCCTTTTCATCAAAGACCAACTCCATTCTTCGTAATACCTTCTTTCCTCACACTTTTATGGATTTCTGATTTCAGCTTGATCATGTTTAAAATTGGCAATATTTTATCATGTTTTAACTTTAATTTGAGAGTGACGAAAAAACAAAACTCATCTCTCTCCCATCGCACTCCATCTCAATTCAGCTCCGCTTTCCTTCTCCATGTCCTTGTCAAGGTCAACAACATCAATAAGAATAGAATAAATAAAAAGATCGCATCAAAATACGATTTTACCTCTCTTTAATAAACACAAGAATATCATCCTATTCCTAGGCATGAATCCATGGCCATAAACATAACGATAAGAGTATTGTTTGAATCAAATACTCATATTACTTCGGATAGGGCTGTAAACGACTGAACTAACACGAACAATTACATGTTCATGTTTGTTCGTTTAATTTAGCCGAACAAGCGTACCAACACGAACAAGTTTTCCTATTTATGTTCATTCATTTAACAAGTTAAATTGTTATGTTCGCGAACATGCTAAACGAACATAAACGAACAAAGATAAACAAACACAATTAGACATATATGAATATAAACGAATATATAATATAGTAATGTAATAATAAATGATTGAACATATATGAACATAAATAGACTTAAACAAACGAACATAAACAAAACGTAAACAAACGTTCACGAACATAAATGAACGAACGAGACTATTGTTCAAGTTTGTTCGTTTAACTAAACGAACGAAAATTTGTGATCATGTTCGTTAATTTATTAAATAAACAAACATAAACGAACTTCTCACCGAATGGTTCGCCAAACTATCGGTTTATTTATAGCTATAGGAGTGCTTATTCAAATTCATTAGACATTTTTTTATAAAAATGTTTATTAGCTTATGTGGTGACAAAAATATTTAAGAAAAAAAATATTTTGGATTAATTTATATGTCAAGAAGCTGTAAGTGATAGACCATTTAAAAAAATGTATTTTGGTTGGCTTATAGTTCTTTTAAGTAAATAAGTTGTTGGTGATCTTAGCATCACAATACATTTTGTGTGATTGGAACTAATATGTTAGCTAATGGGCTTATGTTTTCTATATTGTATGTTTGGTAAGTGCGGAGTGCACATATATAAGATCGATTTATAAGTCGGTACGACAAAATGGTGGGGTCAAGGAGGTCGTGCCCCCTTGCGAGGTCCTAGGGAAGAGTCCCTGGTAGTCTTCGAAAATTTGAATTAGTATCATTATAGAAAATCTGAATTCTAATGGGTGATTGTGGTAAAATTGACAAATCTTGCCAATTTTGGAAACCATTGAAAATGCCATTAATTCTGTGATTTACTTAACTAATTTAGAGGACGGAAACCCTAATTGTCAAGCATAGATACGACTCTTCTCTTGAGTCGTACCATCCCTTTCTTAGCTCTCTTCTTCTCTGACGAACTCATAATTCTCTTGCAATTTGTGTAACATTTAAAAAACCACGGTAAAATTTTCATTTCCAAAATACATTTACATAAAATCCATAGAATAATCAAACATTGTTTCCAAAAACAAAATCATCGAAATCAAAGTATCAATATCATCTCTCAAAACATAAATCAACAGGAGGATGTGTACTATTACGTCTTCGTGTGCCCTGATCATCTGATCTGAAGTACCTGAAATATTTAAATCCATAACTGTAAGCAAAAGCTTAGTGAGTTCCTACAATATACTTCACACAACAATACACATACAATGCATGCACACATGATCCTACAGTCTGCCTAGATCGCCTCGCAAGGCCTACAAGATGCCTGGACCGCTCTATCGAGCCTACAGTCTATTGGCCGGCCTCATAAGGCCTATAGTAGTTGGACCGCTCCCTTGGGCCTACAGTCTGACTAGACCATCTCGCAAGGCCTACATTACACTGGACTACCCGGGTATATTGACCTACAGCACAAAGCAGGACCACCTTAACCAAACCAATCACAATATGTCGGCAAACAAACAAACAAACAATGGCCATCAATACATGTAATCATAACAAATCTACCAATCTAACAGATGACTACAACATACCAACATACTACACACAAGGATACCATAACATCCAAAAAACCAAGGTAAAATTTTTATTTTCAAAACCACACCAAAACAATAAATGGTTTACAAAACATAGTTTCCAAATATCAAAGTAACAAATCATACTGTCCTAAATAAAATCTGATAATATCCAAAGGTTGTGCACGATCAAGCCTTCGTCTTGCCCTGGTCATCTGAAGTACCTGAAACATAACACTTAAACTATAAGTCAGAGCTTAGTGAGTTGCCCCAAAGTACCACACACAACCAAAAAAATATACATATTATATGTTAGGTCCACAACCTTCCGGTTGGATTACCCTGGCCCACAACCTCTCGGTTGGATTACCATATATGTAACGCCCGTAGATCCCGGCTAGTCAATTTAGAGATAATAGGGGTCGAAAACGACTTTTCGACAAAAGATTATTTAAGAATAACTAATCTTAACCAAGTTGTAGAATACGTCTCAAGGGTTCCGTACTGTAACACCCCAAAAATACGAGCCAAAAATTTCATTTTTGAAAACATATATTTAGCAAAAGATTCGAATAAAAACGTTTACTGATCATAACACTTTATAAAGATATCACATGTCTGGAAAACATTTCATAAAACATAATCATGTCATGTAACAGCCCGGATTTCCAGGTATCTTTTATTCGCATATTTCTTGGTGTTTTGTGAGAGGACTCGGCGAGTTGGAGCTCGAACTTGCCGAGTAGGGTCGCGGTTCGTGCCTGGACTCGGCGAGTCCGCGCTGTTTGATGAAACCCTAATTTCCCGGTCCTAAGCTCTATTTAAAGGACCTTATGGCCCTTCATTGCAGCCACCTTGATCCTTGAGAGCACCAAAGCAGCTAAGGGTTCCTGTGAGTGAGATAAGAGGCTATTGTTCACCAAATTTGTGTGTATTTGCAAGAAAGGAAGGGGGAAAGTCAAGCTAGAAGAGTTGGGAGCTTGGATCTACTTCCATTTCGCCAAGGGAAGCTTCTTGAGGTATCTTTCAGAGCTTATTTTCGTGTTTTTGTTGATATGGTTAAATCTAGGGTTTCTTCTTGCCTTATTTTCTTTTTAATTGAAGTGTGAGAGGTCCCATGGAGATATGGTACCTAGATTTGGACCTTAGCAGGTCCAGAAAGTCCCAAATGCTATGCTTTATGTCCTTCCTTTTGGGTTGGAGACTAGGGTTGCCATATTAGAGGTCATTTCCCCAAAAAGAGCCTTGTAAGTGTTGCATGGTAGCCAAGACTGTGACTTTACGTGATAAATGAGCTTGGGAGGGCCAAATCTATGAGTGTATGGAGCGGATCTGACCTCAGAAGCAAGATTGAGTTGATGCATGGCATGGACTCGTCGAGTCTGAAGAACAGACTCGGCGAGTAGCTTGAAGATTGTCCCTAACCACTCAGTGAGTGGTCCTGTCGAGTTATGGTTGACTCAGTGAGTCACGGAGAGTTAGAGAGGGATTGATAGGTGGACTGAGTCGAGCTGGAACTCGCCGAGTTGTCCTTGCGACTCGACGAGTTGAGTCGCGGTGGCCCTGCGATTCATGACCAGGTGGAACTCGTCGAGTTAGGGGAGTACTTGATCATAATGTGTTTTAATGGAGTCCATAACTTGTCCTCAAGTTATGGAAAACCAAGAGTCACACTTGAATTAAAACCATTAAAAGAACACAAGAGTTAGAAAAATGAAGAGTCTTCATTTTATTACTCTATTAAACTCATAAGTTACAAGAAATGAAAAGTTTTGAAAGTTACAAAACTTGCCCTCAAGTTTTGGAACAAGTAAATTTCCAACCCTTAGAATTTTAAAAGTTAAAATTCAACCCTTATACTTATATTATTATAATTTAATAATTATATATATATATATATATATATATATATGTGTGTGTGTATGTATGTATGTATGTATGTATAAGAACAAAGTCGTCTTACCGCTAGTACGCCTCATTCACGAAGCCGGTCTATAAGGTGGGTATAAGGTTGTTGCCTATAAAATGGCAACTTAATGGGTGTCCATTCTCACCCACCGCTCGCTTGACTGGTGGAGGGTCGTTAGCCGAACGGGTAGGACAAGGACTTATGAATTCTCATTAAAAGTATGATGAATATTGTAAAGTAACTAAATGTTTTATTAAATTCCCAATCTTAGTTACTTTAGGAAAATGTGAATAAGGTGCTAATCCATGAAATTACACTTTACACTTTGTCTAAGTCGTTGGTGGAGCGTGTGTGGTTAACTGGCACACTAAC